TATATATACACATATTATTATTATTTAAATTGGTATGTATATTTAATATTTATTATTTACCTGTTTTTCTATTTCTTGCAACTTGAACTTGTCAACTTTTTGTTAATTAACATTATTCTTATTTTTTCTATAAGCTAATTTTTTATTTTATTATTATTATTTTAATTTTATTGTCAGCTTTTTTTGTCATCTTTATTATTATTATTAGTAGTAGTAGTAGTATTAACATTTATTATTAGTATTATTATTAAATCATGCAAAAACATGATATAATGTCAGAAATCATATTGTGCATAATAGAAACATTTATGATTATTATTATTTTCTGGTATTATTTATTTATTATTATTATTATTTATTTATTATTATTATCATTTATTAGTATTATTTATTTGTATTATTATTATTATTATTTATTAATAGTATTATTATCATTATATTATTATTTTTATTATTTCTTTTTATTTATTAATAATATTATTTATTATCATTATTATTTATTATTATTTTTATTTATTAGTTTCCCAGTGATGGGCTGGAAGGGCATCCGCTGCGTAAAAATGTGCTGGATAAGTAGGCGGTTCATTCCGCTGTGGCGACCCCAGATTAATGAAGAGACTAAGTTGAAAAGAAAATAAATGAATTAATTTATTTATTAGTAATATTGTTTTTATTATATTATTATTATTTATTTATTTTATTTATTAATATTATAATTTATTATTTTTATTTATTATTCCATTAGACAAATTTCTATTTAATTAATTTATTTATTTTGATTTCTTGGAACTTGATATTGTGTCAACTTTTTTGTTTATGATCGTCACTGTTATAATATTTTCATAGTTTTCTGGTAGTTTTATTATTATCTTATTTTATTAATAATATGTGTATATATATATATTAGTTTACTGAACTGTGGTTTGAATGATCAGCATTGCGTCAGTGAGACGAACAGGCTGGCGTTTTGAAGCTTTTCTGCTTGTTCTGCTGATATCATGTTCCTTCTGATAAAAAAATACAAAACAAAATCTGCTGGTACAAAACAATCAGCTATTAGCAAACACAATCCTGCACACTGTTTCCAAACATGTTTATATGATAATACTTTAAATATACACAAATTGAATAAAGATGATAAACATAAATAATTAATAATGATTATACTTTAAGAATATTTGGTGTATTTACTTTATTTCTGAAAGGTTTGGCCGTAAATTAAACAGTGACTGAAGAAATCTAGAAGGAATACAGCTGTTCATCAACATCAGCAAACCTTAATTTTAGTGACACTTTACTATAATAATTATTATTTTTACATTACTGTGAGGGTTAGAGTAGAGGTAGACATTATTAATTAAAAAATAATTGGTAATTTAATATATAATATAAATAATTCTCTGTATAATTATGTTTTTACATTACTGTTAGGGTTGGGGAAGAGGTAGACATTAATAAAATACAATTTAATGGGTAATTTGATGAAAAACACCAATAATACTCTGTTTAATTACTGGTTTACATTACTGTGATGGCTGGGGTTGGTGAAGACGTTAATAAAATACTTTTAAATTATATTTTAATAAATAATAGGAATATTACTTTGTAATAATCACTGTTTTTACATTACTGAGCTGGTTTGGACGTTAATAAAATGCAATTTAATGGGTAATTTAATAATAATACTCGGTATAATTGCTGGTTTTACATTACTGGGATGGCTGAGTTCATTTATTCGATAAATAATTCCCGTTTACTTCAAGCCGCAGCTGTATCCCTTCTAGCAACAACCACGCGCGAGGAATTCCATTGACTGCTTAGACCCATTTCTCCCCCCCAATTCGGTCTGACCTCTGATTGGTCGAGCCCATCGAGGTCTGTCATCGCTATCCAATGATAGCGCTCCAGGGGTTTGGCGTATGCAAATTGGCTGTCCTGGCTGGCGTTCCTGCGCTGCCCATTGCCAGTAAAAGCGCGTCGCTGCCGGAGATTCATTCACAGCGCATCATCTGATCCAGGAACAGCACTTTCTCTCACTGGTCCTTCTTTTTTAGTTTTTTTAACCCAGCTAGTACTTTTGTAGTCAGTTAAAGAAAGCGAAAGTGTTTGCGTCAGGTGCGCGCTCTAACTTTCTAAAGGATACGCGCGTGGCCGATGATGATTTCTGCTGAAAGAGGAACAGCATCTGCGTAAAAACTGATCTGAGTTCAGCCCACTTCACACCGAACAGCAGGGTTGTTAAGAGCTGTGGATCCCCATCCCGAAACTCACGGAGACAAAAACATACCAAATGGTTTTTCTTTGGGACGCCAAATACGGTAAGAGCGCTTCTCAGATCGGGACAGTCACTCGCGCGTTCACGGGGCTATTTTTACGCGTCATGTTTCATCACGTCTGAATGTTTATTACAGTTACTAATCACGAAAACCTGTAACCTCAACCCTAATAATGCGACGTCAAAAGCTGAAATCAGTTCTGTTTGCGTATGATTAAACTGCAGAAATAATTAAACCTGTAACCTCTACCTTTATATTGATGGTAATGTGACATTCATGTTCATCAAAAAACTGTTTACGTAAAAAAGTCAGTTTAAGTTTAGTATTGTTTGCTTATTATTGAACTGTGTAGAGAATAAAACCTGTAACCTCAACCTTATTAATGATGCCATGATTTGTACATTAAAAAGTGTAGTTCTGTTTGCCTGTTATTGAACTGCACAGAAAATGCCAGAATATGAAATGCAAATTGATCAAGAAAGTAGTTCAAAAATAGTATTGCAGTAAAATTGGAAATGAGGAAATTGAATTAATAAATGCATTAACTAACTAAAAAGAGTAATACAATGGAAACTGATGGAGAGATATAATGTGTTATTCAGAAAATGCAGATTAATGAAAACTACAAAATAAAATAATGAAAGTACAAAAAAGTATATTATTTTATTATTTTTTTATGTAGGTATATATTTTCCATGATAAACTTAATCAAATTCCTGAAATTAAAGTGATTTTTTATTACTGTTGGTGAGTTTTTTATATATATCTACAAACCCTAAAAGACCTCAAGAATAACTAAAAACTAAACTAAAAATACCAAAATAATCTCAAACTGTCTTAAAATTTGAGGGGAAAAAAAGAAATATATATATATATAATGTGTATAATATAAACATCTGATATTTAATTATATTTTTTTAAGAATTTTGGTCAGTGTGGATGGTGTAAACAAAATGCCTTGTCACGACAAAAGAAAACCATGAAAAAGAACTGGGATGAAAGATGATATTTTCATCAATTTTATTTATTTATTTATTTTCGTAAATACAATAGGCTATTACATTTCAACCTTTTTATAGAAACTGGTTTTATTCGGGTCAAAAGAACATTCTGTAATGCAAATATTATATTACATGTGAAGTAGTTTGTACATTAAATAAACACGTAGCTGAAGTGATTATTAGTAAGACACTTAAAATAAAACATCAGATTTTGGGACAGATGTGTGTGTGTTTATTTATATATATATATATATATATATATATAATTTAAAGTGGTATGTATATTTAATATTTAATAATTATCTGTTTTTTCTATTTCTTGCAGCTTGAACTTATGTCAACTGTTTTGTTAATTAACATTATTCTTATTTTTTATATAAGCTATTTTTTTATTTTATTATTCAAGTCTTTGTGCACTCAATTGAGTCTGCCGTTTGTTCAGACTACTTATTTAAAATGAGTTAAAGCAACACAATTCTTGATTTTTTTTGTTTTGGGGGGGGGGGGGGTAATTATTTTGTTTATTCCACTTAAATTTGTAAAAAAAAAAAAAAAATGTAAAAAATATACACTAAATATATAGGGTAATAATAAAAATGCCAGAAAAATAACAAAATGATGATAATGATAATGTCAATAAACAAAAAAGTTGGCAAGATCAAGTTCCAAGAAATGAAATTAAATAAATAAGTAAATAAATTCAATTAAAAAATTAGCTTAGGAAATTTTTGGTCAATATATAATAATAATAATAATGTCAATAAACAAAAAAAAGCTGAGTCAATGTATTAAAAAAAAACAAATTAAATAAAAAATTAATTAACTTAATAGAGCAAATTGAATTATTTGTGTTGAACCCACCATTTATTTACAATGTGTTCTCCTAAAATAGTGATTTTTAGTGTAAATGTTTTTAATATTAGACAATTTAGCAGACATTCACTTGTAGATACACTTTTTTATTTACAATCATAAACCTTTTGGCAATTAGACATTTAAACAAGAGAGAAAAACAACCAACAGTCATACAAATAATAATTAAACAAAAGGATTTTCTCCAGCCACACCTGAAAAGAGTGATTATTATAGTTGTGATATTTCTGTTGCTCCTGAATTTCTGCAAATGCACGTCTGCCGCTTTTCCACACCTCATCTCTCTCACACCAACCAGCCATCAACAAACTCCAGTTTTAGCCTGATGTAGTGGTTGTGTTTATATTGGGCTGTGTGTTTGGAGGGAGCGCAGGTTTTGGAGACGGGTTTTAACCGCACTCATGTGGCATCGATTGTGGTTGGCCGAATAACCGCGGGCCGCTGCGATGTCTGACGCTCCTTTTGCCTGTTTTTTTCTCTGCACGGAAGTCCTCCACCGTGGTAACAGCAGTGTTAAACTATCCTTTAAAAAGCAGTGCATGAGCAAAACTGATTCCTACAACCAAAGCATGCTGTGAGCATAGCTAAGCATGAGAAGTAGTGACAATACTGCTAAAAGAGTGATGTGAAGTGAATGAAATAATAAAGCTTGTAAAAGGAGAGCACTGCTGGGATTTTACTATGATTGAATGGTGCTTTCTGGCCCAGTTTAATGTAAAACTGCATTGAAATTGTAAGATAATAATGCTGAATATGTAGAAAACTGCTGAGCAATGCGAGACATTGATGCCTAACTTAATCTTATGTCAGCACTGGAACTCTCTATTAAAATATAGATGTAACATGTAAGCTTTTACTAGCTTTTACTACAATTGAGTAGGTTTTCTGACCTAATGTGATTAAAAATTGCATTAAAAGTACAAAAATAGTGTTGTAATATAATAATAAGTAGGATAATAATGTTGAATACGTCGTTCATTTTACTAGAACTAATTATTTTGCATAGAAAACTACTGAGCAATAGAAGACGTTGCCAGATATTGCACATTTACTCTTGTTTTAGTATTAGCTATATGCATTAAAATGTATATTTTTGAAATGTCTTATGTTTAACAGATGTAACATGTCAGCTTTCTTTGCTTTTACTATGATTGAGTTGTGTTTTCTGGTCATTATTTTATTGAAAATTTCATTGAAAGTAAGATAATAATGTTGTAATATAATCATAAGTAGGATAATTATGGTGTATACAACGTTCATTTTACTACAACAAATTGTTTTGCATTATTTTGGTAGTTTTTTTTTACCCAATGTGATTGAAAATTGCATTAAAAATAAAATAATAATGTTGTAATATAATAATAAGTAGGATGTTAATGTTGAATACATCAATAATTTTACTTGAACTAATTATTTTGCATAAAAAACTGCTGACCAATGCAAGACGTTGCCAGAGATTGCACATTTACTCTTGTTTTAGTATTAGATCTATGCATTAAAATGTATATTTTTAAAATAATATTACATTTATGTTTTGCAGATGTAACATTGTCAGCTTTTTCTTGCTTTTACTACGGTTGAGTAGTTTTTTTTTACCCAATGTGATTGAAAGTTGCATGGAAAGTAAGATAATAATGTTGTAATATAATTATAAGTAGGATAATAATGTTGAATACGTCGTTCATTTTACTAGAACTAATTATTTTGCATAGAAAACTACTGAGCAATAGAAGACGTTGCCAGAGATTGCACATTTACTCTTTTTTTTAGTATTAGCTATATGCATTGAAATGTATATTTTTGAAATGTCTTATGTTTAACAGATGTAACATGTCAGCTTTCTTTGCTTTTACTATGATTGAGTTGTGTTTTCTGGTCATTATTTTATTGAAAATTGCATTGAAAGTAAGATAATAATGTTGTAATATAATAATAAGTAGGATAATTATGGTGTACACGTTGCCAGAGACTGCAAATTTACTCTTGTTTTAGTATTAAATCTATGCATTAAAATTAGATACATTTATTAATAATATTATATGTTTTGCAGATGTAACATTGTAAGCTTTTTCTGGCTTTTACTATGATTGAGTAGTTTTCTGACCCAATGTGATTGAAAATTGATTGAAAGTGTCAGATAATAATGTTTAATATAATAATACTGGTAAATACAACATTCATTTCACTAGCTCTAATTATTTTGCATAGAAAAATGCTGAGCAATGCAAGACGTTGCCATATATTGCAATTTTACCCTTGTTTTAGTATTATATCTATGCATTAAAATGGATGTTTTGGAAATATCTTATATGTATGTTTTGCAGAAGTAACACTGTAAGCTGTTTCTTGCCTTTACTACAGTTTTTAGTGTGTTTTAGAGTATTCTACATTGTTTTCATGATTAATAAATCGCTGGAAGAGTCTAATTCATTTGAATGAAAAGTAATTTTAACAAGATATAATTAGAGCAATGCAACAATCAAACCCATTTTTATTATGTCTAAAGTGCTCATGCATTACAGTGTTTTTACTGTGGCAAAGTGTTTTTATTGTTCTAAATAAAAGTAAATTTACTATATTCTTTTACCTTTATACGGTTAAAGTTTAACAAATAGCTCATTTTACTAGGAGTAGTAATTCTGCATAGTAAATCAGCATCTGTTCTTGATTATGGGGGTGTTCTTGATATGAAATAAAATAATAAATGTAAACAAATACATAAAACAATCATCAATGCAAAAACTATATATATATATATATATATATATATAGGCCCTGATATCAGCATTCAGTAATATTTCAGATGTCAAAATGTGAAAGTTTATTTGTGGGTGGTTAGCACTGTCGCATCACAGCAAGAAGGTCTCTAATTCAAGTCCCAAATGGACCAATTGGCATTTCTGTGTGGAGTTTGCATGTTCTCCCCGTGTTGGCGTGGGTTTACTCCGGGTCCTCCGCTTTCCCCCACAGTCTAAACACATGCGCTATAGAGGAATTGATCAACTAAATTGGCTGTAGTGTATGAGTGTGTGTGTGTGTGTGTGTGTGTGTGTGTGTGTGTGTGTGTGTGTGTGTGTGTGTGTGTGTGTGTGTGAATGTGTGTATGGATGTTCGCTAGTGATGGGATTTCGGATGGAAGTGCATCCACTGTTTAAAACATATGCTGGAATAGTTGGCGGTTCATTCCGCTGTGGTGACCCTGATAAATGAGGTACTTAACTGAAGGAAAATGAGTGAATGAATGAGAATTATAAGTATTATAAGTAAAACAGTAATATTAGATGTGAAAATTGCATTAAAGAACATATTAATGTATGAGGATTCGACTTAAAAACTTAGATTATGCAGTGATTTAGTGATTCGTTCTGTAAGGTAAGAGTTTGATTATGTCCTGCTTTGATGAGAAATTTGGTGAATAAGTTTATTTGTCGACTGGAGAATTCTCAGAATAGTGTTTTAATGTTGCTGACCACACCTAGGCTTACTGATGTGCACATTTGAGGAAGTGTTGGCATAACTGAATTTTTTTCAATGTGTTTTTTTGGGTTTGTATTGTTCTGTTTGTTTTCTGCTGCTAATGTCTGGAAATAAAGTAGAGCGTAAAGTAAATTGTTTTTTAAAATGTGTTAATGAATAGCTTTCGTATTTTGTGTAAAACAGAAGTGTTTCTCACAAAGTGCATAAGAGAGCAAGGAGTGCATCCTACAGGTGGTTTGTCAAGCCCACTCACCTGTTTGGAGTACACTAGATTTATATTATATTTTTTTCCCCAATTTTTCAACACATTTTTAATCATAGTAGTTTTAATAGCTCATCTCTAATAGCTGATTTATTTTATCTTTGCCATGATGACAGTAAATAATATTAGACTAGATATTCTTCAAGACACTTCTATACAGCTTAAAGTGACATTGAAAGGCTTAACTAGGTTAATTAGGGTAAAGTTAGGGTAATTAGGCAAGTCGTTGTATAACAGTTGTTTGTTCTGGAGACAATTGAACACAAATATTGCTTAAGGGGGCTAATAATATTGACCTTAAAATGTGTTTAAAACAATTAAAAACTGCTTTTATTCTAGCCGAAATAATACAACTAAGACTTTCTCCAGAAGAAAAAATATTATCAGACATACTGTGAAAATTTAATTTGGGAAATATTTTTTAAAAATTCACAAGAGGACTAACAATTTAGACTTCAACTATATATGCCCATAAATTCATCTGTAAGTGTCTGTAAAATAAAGCATGTCAGCCCTGTGTTGCCCTTTATCGCCAGCAGAAAGAAGCTTCTCCTCAGTCTCTCTGTCTCAGCCTTCAGCAAATGAAAGCACTTTTCTTTTTCCTTCTTTTATTATATCTCATATTTATTCATATCTTATATTATTTCAAGAGTTGACACTTAGCTGATGATTGATTATAATGCTTGTTTGGCATGCTGTCCCGGGAGAGAGCCCAGAGCTCATAAGATCCTCAAGCCCGGGGCTCCCTCCTGTTCCAAGGCGAGAGGGGAGTTTGAGTTCAGGTAGATCTGGAGAATTCCCCTGCTGTAGTAGCTAATGAACAGATAGTGATCGCTCTTAAGGGATATTTACTCACTAGGAGCATGTCTATGGTGGCGATTTAAATTAGTCAATTAACTTAAGTTGCATGTTTTTGGATAGTGGGAAGAAACCGGGAAGCCAGGGGAAACCCACGTGAGCACTTATTATTCCTGTTTTAACACATTTTAATCTGTTTTTAATAATATTTGTTTTTATTTTCTTAATTTTTTTTTACTTGTCTCTTTTATTCGTAAGCTTGCCTTACCTTGTTGAATTCACTTTAACACTGGCCTGTGTTTCAGAACCTGCGCCCGGGCGACGCTTCACGCCTCCCTCCACCACCCTGAGCTCGGGGAAGATGAGCGAGGGTTTGCCTCTGGGGGCTCAGGAGAGCACCGGCGCCGCTCTGGTGGGCAAACTGCGCATGGCAGACCGCAGCATGGTGGAAGTACTGTCCGACCACCCGGGGGAACTGGTGCGCACCGACAGCCCGAACTTCCTCTGCTCCGTCCTGCCGACACACTGGCGCTGCAACAAGACCCTGCCCATCGCCTTCAAGGTACCAGAACCTGTTTTATATGGGTTATTTTTGGGCAGCTTGGTGGCTCAGTGTCACAGCAAGAAGCTAGTTAGAGTCCCGGCTGGGTCAGTTGGCATTTCAGTCTGGAGTTTGCATGTTCTCCTCGTGTTGTTGTGGGTTTTCTCCGGGTGCTCCGGTTTCCCCCACAGTCCAAACACATGCGCTATAGGGGAACTGATCAACTAAACTGGCCGTAGTGTATGAGTGTGTGTGAATGAATGAGTGTGTATGGGTGTTTCCCAGCACTGGGTTGCAGCTGGAAGGGCAAATGCTAAACTTATGTTGGAATAGTTGGCGGTTCATTCCACTGTGGTGACCCCCTGATGAATAAAGGGACAGAAAATGAATGAACGAATAGTTCTGTGGCACATGATCAATTATTTTTTACATAACACTGACTGTAGTTGATTCGTTTGTGCTATTTTTTGGGTTCTTTTAAAGTTGAAGGGCATTTCAAAATCTTGTCATCTCTTTTTTTAATCCTCACAGCATGAATCAAGCTAATGATTTGTAGGGAAGCATCAGTAATTGCTGTTAATGTCCTTTCGTCACATGTGACCGACCGCATTATCTTTCTTCATCTTCTTCTTCTTCCACATTTGGCAAATGACGGCATAAAAGTGAAGCACTCAGTGTTGTCAAAGCCAGCCGTGTGTGTGTGTGTGTGTGTGTGTGTGTGTGTGTAAGGGAGAGCTGAAGAATGAGCTGACATTTACAGTTAATATGCAAATCAGCTGCTCATTTAGTTTAGATGTGCAGATAATTGCACAAGTGGACGTGACGCAGGACAGTACAGAGGATTTGAATGTTGTTTGGCTTTCAGCGTCTGTCCAAAGTGTCTGCTTAATAATAAAGGCAGAATATATTGTATGTCTGCTTAATAAAGTCAAGGAGGATGATGATGAAATGGCAGAAAATTATCAATTATTGTCATTATTTTAAAGGCCGCACTCAAAAACGTGTTGTTTGTTTACACTAGTTATTTAAAATGAGCTAAAACAACACAGTTACTGAGTATTTTGTGGGGTACAACTTATTTTTGTTATTGTTTTCGGTTCACTTAGATTTGTACAAACTAATAAGTTAATTTAATTTTTCAGGTTGTCCCAACATAAATCCATTGTGTGGAACCCAGCTTTTTTAGTGTTTAAAGGTTTAATTTGAGTGTTTTATTCGATTATGATTAATTAATCTTACAATGAGAGTTAAGAAAATTGCAGTGTTACAAAAGGTCATGTTGAAGATATTTTAAAATTTAAATATTAATTATTGAATCTAGAAAATACAACATTTCATTCATTCATTTTATTTTCATTCCATTTATTAATCTGGGGTCGCCACCGTGGAATGAACCGCCTACTTATCCAGCATATGTTTTACACAACGGAAGCCCTTCCAGCTGCAACCCATCACTGGGAAACATCCATACACACCCATTCACACACAAACTTACGCCAACACGGGGAGAACATGCAAGTTTACAGAGAAACGCTAACTGACCCAGCCGAGGCTCAAACTAGTGACCTTTTTGTTGTGATGCGATTGTGGTACCCACTGCGCCACCGTTACACATACAATATATCATGGTTTCAACAAAGCGTATGAAGCCGCACAACTGTCAGGAGTAATTTAAATGATATTTTACAGTAATATTTCACTATAGGGCAGTCTGTCTGATTAAATAAATGTAAATTTGCATATTTAAATAATATTTTACAGTAATATTTCACTATAGGGCAGTCTGTCTGATTAAATAAATGTACATTTGCATATTTAAATTATATTATACAGTAATACTTCACCGTCTGTCTGATCAAATAAATGCACATTTGCATATTTAAATTATATTTTACAGTAATATTTCACTGTCTGTCTGATCAAATAAATGCACATTTGCATATTTAAATTATATTTTACAGTAATACTTCACTGTCTGTCTGATCAAATAAATGCACATTTGCATATTTAAATTATATTTTACAGTAATACTTCACCGTATATCTGATCAAGTTAATGCACATTTGCATATTTAAATTATGATTTACAGTAATATTTCACCGTCTGTCTGAATCAAATAAATGTAAATTTGCATATTTAAATTATATTTTACAGTAATATTTCACCGTATATCTGATCAAATAAATGCACATTTGCATATTTAAATTATATTTTACAGTAATATTTCACCATATATCTGATCAAGTTATTGCACATTTGCATATTTAAATTATGATTTACAGTAATATTTCACCGTCTGTCTATCAAATAAATGTAAATTTGCATATTTAAATTATATTATACAGTAATACTTCACCGTCTGTCTGATCAAATAAATGCACATTTGCATATTTAAATTATATTTTACAGTAATATTTTACCGTCTGTCTGATCAAATAAATGCACATTTGCATATTTAAATTATATTTTACAGTAATATTTCACCGTCTGTCTGATCAAATAAATGCACATTTGCATATTTAAATTATGATTTACAGTAATATTTCACCGTCTGTCTGATCAAATAAATGCACATTTGCATATTTAAATTATATTTTACAGTAATACTTCACCGTATATCTGATCAAGTTAATGCACATTTGCATATTTAAATTATGATTTACAGTAATATTTCACCGTCTGTCTGATCAAATAAATGCACATTTGCATATTTAAATTATGATTTACAGTAATATTTCACCGTCTGTCTGATCAAATAAATGCACATTTGCATATTTAAATTATATTTTACAGTAATATTTCACCGTATATCTGATCAAGTTAATGCACATTTGCATATTTAAATTATGATTTACAGTAATATTTCACCGTCTGTCTGAATCAAATAAATGTAAATTTACATATTTTAATTATATTATACAGTAATACTTCACCGTCTGTCTGATCAAATAAATGCACATTTGCATATTTAAATATATTTTACAGTAATATTTCACCATATATCTGATCAAGTTATTGCACATTTGCATATTTAAATTATGATTTACAGTAATATTTCACCGGCTGTATATCAAATAAATGTAAATTTGCATATTTAAATTATATTATACAGTAATACTTCACCGTCTGTCTGATCAAATAAATGCACATTTGCATATTTAAATTATATTTTACAGTAATATTTTACCGTCTGTCTGATCAAATAAATGCACATTTGCATATTTAAATAATATTTTACAGTAATATTTCACTGTCTGTCTGATCAAATAAATGCACATTTGCATATTTAAATTATATTTTACAGTAATATTTTACCGTCTGTCTGATCAAATAAATGCACATTTGCATATTTAAATAATATTTTACAGTAATATTTCACTGTCTGTCTGATCAAATAAATGCACATTTGCATATTTAAATGATATTTTACCATAATATTTCACCTTTTGATCAAATAAATGTACATTTGCATATTTAAATAATATTCTACAATAATTTTTCACCATCTGTCTCATCAAAGATTTTTTTCATTATACATATAAATGCTCATGTCTTATTCATTATTCATTTTACTTTCATACCTACATTTTTGTCCATTAATGATTTGTTGCATAAATAATGCTGATAATAATTGATGCATCTAATGGATTCTTTTTACAAGACTGTCATCAGCATCTTAAATCCTTGAAAGTTTTTAATATTTAGATTGTTTTTAATATATGAACATTGATATGTATTCATGTGTGTATTACATGATCTTTACATCAAATGACAAAATAGGAATGAGCGCTGGCGTGAATTGTGTCTAATGCAGTGTGTATTGGGTCAGGACAGCAAATCTGACATGATTCTCTCTTCTGGCCGCCGTTATCAGTCTCACACTATTGTTTTCCTCTTTCTGAAAGTCTTGATAACACCATCCTGGAGTATTTCTGTCATTATTTCAGCAAATAGGACTGTAAAGAAATGCTTTGTTGTGTTCTCCCATTCACTGCGCTCTGTGTTTACCAACTATGATGACCTCATTTATTGATTGACAGGTGGTTGCCCTTGGTGATATCCCAGATGGAACACTGGTCACAGTGATGGCGGGAAATGATGAGAATTACTCCGCTGAGCTCCGCAACGCTACAGCCGCCATCAAGAACCAAGTGGCTCGTTTCAATGACCTGCGTTTCGTGGGCCGCAGCGGACGAGGTGAGATGCTGAAAATACATAAAAACATCTCCGCTTACTGCTCAGACATACACATCGAGAGAAGGAAACACGGTCTATATATTCACCCGTGATCTGTGACAGAGTTAATTTAAGGCCGGTATCTGTGTGTGCACATGCTGGGTTATATGCATTTATATTAGCGAGCTGTCCAATGCTTGATTCTGATTGGCTGATGAGTATTCTAAGGAGCCGTTCACACAATGAATGCGTTTTAATGTATAACATGAACGCTATGCTTTCATGTTTTGCAGTGCATCTTTTATAGTCTGCATGAAATCTAAATTTACTCTTTGTATATTTTATATTTATACAGCAGTGCCTCTTTTAAATGGCTGTGCACTTTATTATTTTGTAAAAAAATAATTGCCCTCTTAAACTTTAAGCAAAAACCGTAAGCATCCCTCAATCCTCGAAATGACTTCTCTTTACTTCTGGTCACATATAATGCCTATTGGGAGGGGCTATCAGTAATTTAGGGCGGGACTATCAGTAAATTACGGGGGGGCTAACAGTCCTTTAGGGCAAGGCTATGAGCCCTTTAGGGTGGAGCTAGTAGTCCTTTAGGGCGGAGCTATCAGTCCTTTAGGGCAGAGCTATCAGTCATTTAGGGCAGAACTATCTGCCATTTAGAGCGGAGCTATCAGTCCTTTAGGGCAGAGCTATCTGTCATTTATGGTGGAACTATTGGTCATTTAGGGCGGGGAAAACAGTCATTTAGGGTAGGGTTATCAGTCATTTAAGGCGGAGCTATCAGTCCTTTAGGGTTGGATTATCAGTCACTTTGGGCGGGGCTATCAGTCCTTTAGGGCAGGACTATCTGTCATTTAGGGCGGAGCTATCAGTCTTTTAGGGCAGAGCTATTTGTCTTTTAGGGCAGAACTATCTGTCATTTAGGGCGGAGCTATCAGTCCTTTAGGGCAGAGCCATCTGTCATTTAGGGCGGAGCTATCTGTCCTTTAGGGCAGAGCTGTCTGTCATTTAGGGCGGAGCTGTCTGTCATTTAGGGCGGAGCTATCAGTCATTTAGGGCGGAGCTATCTGTCATTTAGGGCGGAGCTATCAGTCCTTTAGGGCGGAGCTATCTGTCTTTTAGGGCAGAGCTATCAGTCCTTTAGGGCAGAGCCATCTGTCATTTAGGGCGGAGCTATTAGTCCTTTAGGGCAGAGCTGTCTGTCATTTAGGGCGGAGCTATCAGTCCTTTAGGGCGGAGCTATCTGTCATTTAGGGCAGAGCTATCTGTCATTTAGGGCAGAGCTATCTGTCATTTAGGGCGGAGCTATCTGTCATTTAGGGCGGAGCTATCTGTCATTTAGGGCGAAGCTATCAGTCCTTTATGGTGGAGCTATCAGTCCTTTAGGGCGGAGAAAACAGTCATTTAGGGCGGAGCTATCAGTCCTTTAGGGCGGAGCTATCTGTCTTTTAGGGAGGAGCTGTCAGTCCTTTAGGGCAGAGCTATCTGTAATTTAGGGCGGAGCTATCAGTCTTTTAGGCCAGAGCTATCTGTCATTTAGGGCGTAGCTATCAGTCCTTTAGGGCAGAGCTATCAGTCCTTTAGGGCGGAGCTATCAGTCATTTAGGCCAGAGCTATCAGTCATTTAGGGCAGAGCTATCAGTCATTTTAGGGCGGAGCTATCTGCCATTTAGGGCAGAGCTATCTGTCCTTTATGGTGGAGCTATCAGTCCTTTAGGGTGGGGAAAACTGTCATTTAGGGTGGAGCTATCAGGGCGTGTCATGTTTTTGGTTTTATTATGCACCGCCATACATTTTTTTCTCATTTCGGGGCGGTTCGAGTTAGATGTACAATCTTAACTTCTAGTTCATGTCAGCTTTAAGAGACTGTGTCAAGTTAAAAGAAGTTTTTACACTAAGCACTGCTCATCAGTGTTGGTTCTCAAGCAGTGGACCAATCAGAAGAACTTGGAGGCGGGGCAAGCACTGCAAGCTTTTGTTTACAGCAGAAAATGTACTATTTAATGGCGGAATTTTGGAGGAGGCCTTTCCTGAACAATGTATCTCAGCTCTATCTAATATTTTAGACCAAATGCGTATGTACCTTGAGGTTTGCCGTTATGTTCAGATAAAGTAGTTCTTGCAGGATTTGAGCACATATCCCTCCACTAAATGATTTATAAGTTATTTCACAGCTACATCAGTCAAAAATCACATCAAAACACAACAGAAGGCTTTAAATGAGATGTGTAAGAAACCTGAGGACAGAAGCCTGACAAATAAAGTCCGAAATACCACATCTGAACAACATCTTTAACTGTGGCAACCAGAATATAAGCAGAATAGTCCACTCCCAGCCGTTGAATTATTCAAAAATAATGCACACCAGATTTACTAAGTCAATTAATTTGCTATAACACAAACAGTTACCCGTTACATATTTATAACACAGCCTCTATATACACCAGCTATAGTCATCCAGCGGTTTGATTACTGAAGCACTTCAGCGCATCACCAGAGCGCAGTAATCGTGCCTTGTGTTTCAGAATCTTAGCATCTCATAGGAAACCCTCTGCTGGTATTTGTGAATGTGTGAATCATGATGACGGAGCAGTTAGTCAACAGAATGACTGGAAATGACGAGGGGTCCCACAGGGCTCTGTTCAAGGCCTGATGTGATTCTGCTGATATACGCCAACACCAGTGCTTTTAACCTGCATGCCCAGACCTGTGATGAATACATGAATGTGTACACGCTCCTTTGTCCCGCTCTCTCTTTTGTCCGCATCATCATTGGAACTCAGCACAATAGTGTGTGTTTGCAACAGGTGTGCTCGCCCGCTCTGAGCGCAGAACACATGCATTGAGAATGGAAACTGAGTTTGTGTACAAAGACGAGCCTAAATGTTTGGCCGAGACTGTTAAACAAAACATTTTACTGCATGAAAGTCTTGCGCTTCAGACATGCACATCCTCGCAGACAGTTGTTTATGCCATTGTGTGTGTGTGTGTGTGTGTGTGAGAGCAGCTGCGATGGAAGCGATTAGGTTTAGTGCCGGAAAAAGAGAGCGGGTTGAGGAAGAAAAACAGCGTAAGGGAGAAATGTAAACTGTGTGTATCTACACACACTCTTGCTACTCTGCTCTATTATGCAGACGTGAAGATAAGACAACAAAGACGGCATCTGTGGCGCTTCTTTAGGGCTGGTTAGTTTTAGGTTTTTGTCACATCATGGGCTTTTGAGTCACTTGATGTCCTCGGGGACATTCACACACACGCACACACACACACACACACACGCACATACCCGTATACTACACACACAAAAACACACACACAAAAACACACACACACACACACACACTTCAGCTGATCACAAATGACAGATATCTGACACAACATACACTGTTCAGGATGGAGACTATCATCTGTCTGTCCATCATCATCTGTCTGTCCATCATCACCTGTCCATCATCACCTGTCTGTCCATCATCACCTGTCTGTCCATCGTCACCTGTCCATCATCACCTGTCTGTCCATCTTTACCTGTCCCCCATCAAATGTCAGGATGTTTTGAGATATAAGCTAGTTTTTCC